GTTTATATTAAGGCTTTGCAGCCGTCCAGGCAGGAACCTGAGTCAGCATCGCGAGAGAAGCAGGGCCGTATCCCATGATTCTCTAACAATATACTCACAATACATTGGTAACCTTGACGAGAAAAATTCTAATCTAAAACTTTTGTTTGTTCCAGGTCCGATATTTAAATGTGACCATTAAAATTAAAAATAGTATGGGACGCACATAAATTAACGTACCATGACAGCAAGATAAGAAATTTAAAATGGTAATTAAAAAGAAAACAATTCGTTGGTCTAATTTAATTAATTTTTTTATAGTAAATTAAAGAGTCGTAAAGTTATAAAAAAAGTAAAACGAGGGTAATTTTCTATGGATTTTATGGAAAACCAAACACGCCCGGAACTGCTTTTAAGTGCACATTATATGGCTTCCGACGGAAAATGGCTGTAAAACATTACCTCATTCAGTGAAGTAATATTTCTAATTTTGAAAGCTTAACCTATTTTCTGGACTAAACTACATTTTACCATCTACCAAGGTCTTCAAATAAATAACAATTTGTATAAACAATACAATATATCTACAATATAATTATTATTTTATGGTTATTCAATTACAATTAAAGAGCAAAAAAACACAATTCATATAGAAGTTGATACATTTTTGCTTTAATTATATTTCTTACCTAAAACTCAAGTATAAGCCGGATTTTTTTTTATAATATTTCATAACTATTTAGTTTTGTAGGCAAAATTAACAACACCTGAACTAATCTATAGAAAAAGGAGCCTAATCTTACAATTACCCCAGCCAATATACAGGGTGACCCAGTGCTCTGTGATCGGTCCATATTTTTTTGCTATTAAAGATATCGATATGAAATTTTTATAGAAAATTTGATCCAACTAAACCTATTTTCCAAAATTCCACTTCCAGTTTCACCGGAAGTGACATCAACATTGTTATTTCAAATAGAATACCCTGTATATTTTTTGATTTTTAAATTTCATATTTAATTCCTGATAAAATTTCTATAACCTTCCCTATACCTAAACTCAATAGTTTTCGAGTTATTAATTTTTTTCGTAAAAATTTGTCAGTTGCGCCTTCAACAAAAATAGCCTATAACTTCTTTGTTATTAGGTCTATTGGTATGCGGTTTGGATTTTTGGAATCTTGAAAAATTGTTTTAAATATCCCGTGTCAAACTTTGCCATATTTATAAACAATTACTTGATAAAAATTAGGGTGAATTTGGCAAACTTTAAACCTTAATAACTTTCTTATTTTTAATGGTACGCTATGTATATTTTTGCAGAATTAAATTTATTATTAAATTACCTTTTAATTGGTATAACCATTCCCTATACCTAAAGTTAATAATTCACCCTAATTTTTATCAAGTAATTAGTTAGAAATATGGCAAAGTTTGATACGGGATATTTAAAAGAATGTTTCAAGATTCCAAAAATCCAACCTGCATACCAATAGACCTAATAACAAAGAAGTTATAGGCTATTTTTGTTGAAGGCGCAACTGTCAAATTTTTACGAAAAAAATTAAATTAACTCGAAAACTATTGAGTTTAGGTATAGGAAATATTATAGAAATTTTATCAGGAATTACATATGAAATTTAAAAATCAAAAAATATACAGGGTATTCTATTTGATATAACAATGTTGATGTCACTTCCGGTTTCCAAAATAATTTTGGAAAATAGGTTTAGTTGGATCATATTTTCTATAAAAATTTCATATCGATATCTTTAATAGCAAAAAAAATATGGACCGATCACAGAGCACTGGGTCACCCTGTATATTAGTACCAATGGGATTTTGCATTCAGTTATCACATTAGCCCCAAATAGTGGGTTCCACATAGGTCCGAACGTCCCAGACCTATATCGGAAGTTTTGGGTACGTCCAGTCTCTTACTTATTTGGGAAAATTAAAACGGATTTACTCGGTACGTCCCAAGGACGTAATTTTTGTTTTTTTTAGCAATTAAAGCATGGTATTTCCAAAGGGTGTAAGTGTCAAGTTGGCTAAATAATATATTATCATTTAAAAATAGTTTGTGTCATGCAGAATGACTTAAAAAATATTCCAACATTTATATGTTCAAAATATTTGTTTTTCATTGATAACTCACAATTTTATTTTTGTCACTTAGACCCATTGGGAATACCACTCTTCAATTCTGTAGAGCTTGTCCAATAATCCCCAATAAATTATTTCAGGACGGCCAGAGGATGTCTTACTTAAGACGTTCTGGGGACCGACCATTTGGTAACATCGGTACACAGAGAAAAAAGATTATTTGAATTAAATAAATTTTTATTTCGATATACCCAAATAAATGTTCTTTTGAATGTAAAAAAATATTTATTTGTTTTAATTTATTTAATTTAAAATTAATTTATTCAACGCAAACAAATATTATTAGTTTGTATGAAATAAAACCAAGTAAAAAACATGTATTTTTTTAAATTAAAGAAATGTTTTTATTTACGTAAAACAGATAATTTATTTCATTTAAAATTAATTTATTTAACTTAAATACCTATAATATTTGTGTTAAAAACAATTTATTTGGATTAAGAGATTTTTTTTTTTTAAATTAATAAATTTTAATTTATATTTAAGAAGAATTAATTAATTTAATTTAGATTTATTTATTTAAATTAAATAATTATTATATTTGAATTAATAAAAATTATTTATTCAGATTAAAAGATATATTTTTTTAATTAATAATGTTTTTTTTCATCTAATCTAGTAATTAATATATATTGGTATATTGGGGAGTAAAAATAAATTATTTTTTTTTATGAATAAACACTAATCTTTATTGCATAAAAGTCTTATAAATACATATAGGAAACCCTAAAATATACAAATACTTCACTAACTTAAAAAAATACTTATGTTAATTTTAACTTAATGTTAATGTGTGCTGCATAAATCCACCAGGGTCTGCAAATAATAATGATAAGTAATTATTTAAATTACTTACCTTTAAAAACAGGAATAAATTTCTCAAGACCCCATTCCTTTAAAAGGTCCTCCCTAGTATAAAATAATATAAAATTATTTATTATTTTATTATAATGCTACACAACACTTCTCATCAACACCCTGCTCTAAATTGGAGTCTCTAAAATCACGTACATACAAAATGGAAAGCCCATTGGGTGCCTGCAGTCGCCTGATTTACAGCAACCAATAGGATGCAAGTCATGCTACTTCGACGTGAGCAAAAAAGTTTAAATAAACCTCTGCTTTAAATCAAATTACAATTTTTTTGTATTTAAATAATAATTTGTTTAAATTAAATAATAATTTGTTTATTTTAAATAATTAATTTTTTTGAATTAAATCAAAATTATATTTTAAAATTAAACCATGTTTTAAAAAAAATAATATTTGTTGTTTAATTTAAACTTTTTAATTTTTTAAAACAAGTAAATTGTTTTTATAATTTAAGAAAGTCAACTTTTATTTAAACAGAATAAGTGCAATTTTGAAATAAAAGTCAGGTACTTTGTTTTAAATATATATTTTAATAAATTTGCTTTTTCCTTTTAAATAAAGACAATTATTCTTTTTAAAGAAATATTTTTGAATTATATTTATATTTTTTTAAATGTAATAAATAAAATTAAACAAACATTCTTGTTTGAATTAAAACATCTTTTTTCTCTGTGTACGTCCTGGGGAAGGTTCCGGACCTGATTCGGACGTATTTCGAACTTACTAATGTCTGATACAAGATATACTCAGGACGTTTCCAGTATACTTCTTTGTGCTATCTGGGTATTGACATGTTTTTTGAAAAGCACCATAACTTTTTCCTTATCTTATATATGATACTTATATCTTGAGGCAATAATTAAGTTCTAGGAATTCATCATGTTTTACCAATTAAACAAACAGTTTATTTATTATATTTCAAAATTTAAAAATTATAACTTTATGGTACCGTCAACTGGGGCTTCTTTGATCAATATAATTTAAATTTTTGATAGTAGTTAACCAACTAGTTGAGATATTTGAAAACAAAAAAAGGGAAATATTAGGCAGTTTTATGATTAATCTAAAACCTTATTAGGCATTCACTTAATTTTAAGAAAAACTAAAAAAAAAGATGGCCCCGATCAAAGTTTTACTTCATTTGGGGCAACTTTGATCATGCCTTAATTTTGCTCTTATAACTAATGAAACCCCGTTCAATTATAATATAAATTAAAAAATATAATTTTATTAAATTATTTACTTTAAAAATAACATATTTGCGTAAAAAAACAACCAGAAATTAAGAAATAAATACGCTTTTATTGATCATGCTGTATTCTAGAAATTTCTGAAGCTTTATAAAATATACAAACCAAAAAGTAAACTTTATTACATTGTAGTACGAGAACCGCGGCAAAACTCACCACGATGTTTACACCCTCGTTAACGTGTGACAACTGAAAAACAAATGATGGGTTAAAGCGCGCCAAAAAAAATTTTTCTAGCGCAGTAATTCAAAAAAATAAAAGTTCTGACATGTGTAATCAAAGTTGCCCCGCAATTATCAATGTAGCCCCAGTTGGCGGTACTTATAAAGAAATTTAATGTGTACGTAATTTTGTGATAATAAATTAGTGTTTTCTCTCTGTGTACGTTCAAAATCCACCTGTGTATTCTGCAGGACCCTGTATACAGTATACAGCTTTGCATTGGTAACATAATACATAGCTTGTTATAATTATGACTGAAAAAACCTTTTCATCTGTGCCAAACACAAGTATTTTTAGTAAATTACTTATGACATATTAAATTACAGTCATGTTTAATTCAAATTCTATGAAATAATCGCGAGCGCCATTAGATTAATTGAAACATAAAAATTAACTTATAAATGGACAATTTATTTTTATGAGCTATTGTCTTAATAAAATATGACATAATCTCAATATACCAGCATATACTTCAGATGCGTATGTTAATAAAGCTTAATTAATTTCGATAGTCGTCATAGATAAGAAAGAAGAGGACAGATTGCGGCGAAAGCGAAGATTTTTTAAAATGTAAATGTCACCGGTTCGACCAATACGCCTAGACGATTTATTGTGGCAGGTACTGCACGTAACGTGGTTCTCCTGTAGTTGGTACTGGTCTTGAGTGGGCAAACCGGGTACTCCGATTCAAAATGTTGCCGCAGTGAATACCCTTCGCGCATTTTACACGGTGTGTTTCACTTTTGGGTTGCTGTTGTTTATTTTACATGATTCACAGCTTTTTTAATGAAACAGATGATACGCACTGTGATACGATTGTGCCATAACACTTCAATTAAGCCGGATGAACCGAGTTTTCGTGTGCTGTGGTAGTTGGTGGATGATTTATATTTTTTAAGTTAGTTTAAGAAGATATGGTCGGAAAAATGGATTATTCCAGTAAGTAGTAATATGTTTTTTATATTTTTATTTTAAGGTTATAAAAGAACACAACAATTTTTCATTAATATTTTGTATAAATAGATACCTATAGGTATACCTATGTTTCATTCTGTTTTTATAAATAGACCAATTAAAAACAAACAGATTCAAAAAGCGTTTTATATAATAGTTTAAATTACTTACTTTTAAGTTTTTAAAAATTAAAATATTTTTTATATGTCCGTTTATAATTATTATGCCGTATCCCTTATTAATTATTTTATTAAAGGTTAATCACCGCCTTTCGAAACATTTTAAAAATACAAATTGAAAATAAAAAGAACCCAACAAATTTTGTAAATAATTCTTAAATTAAAATAATCCTAAAATTAAAAAAATAATATTTTTTAATTAAATTTTGGATATAACTTTTAAACTTTTTAAACATTCATAATATACGTAATGTTGATTCAATTATTTTTCCCAAAATTTTTTTAATGACAATTTTAAGGTTTTACCATATCTATGGTATAAGTCTTAAATCTTGTGGTGTCCCATTTTGGTCAAGATCAAAGGATTTTTTTTTGTAAATTTGGACTACATGTAGAAACCATATGTATATATATACTAGTATTTTATGTATATGTTGTAGGCACCCAAAATTTATTAGACATTTCAATGACCAATAAAAGAAGTATCTCTTAATTTAGTTTAAAAAAATGCAATTTTTTAAAACATTTAAATATCAAGCTAAAAATAAGTAAGTAAAAAAATCTAGTATGCTATGGCCGATTCTAAAACAAAATAAATGAATAATCTGTCAATTTTTTGTGCACGAGCGATGGCATATGTTTTTAAAACACAAACATATAAATGGCACCTACTTGTTTTAATGGTATATTATTATACGAGAGATAATGCAGGTTATTATTCACAAGCATGAGGTTTGCGTTTCGAGTCACCGCGCATAATCTCTATTAATTAAATTAAAATTAAATGATTTTTAAAAGTAATTAAATAAAATCTGACATCTGTCAAATGGTTAACCTTACTTTTTACCAATTTTAAATGTTATTATAGTCGCCTTCTCCCAATTTAAAACCCGATTTGTTCAAATCACAGTGAATATCGAAATCGGCCAATCACTGATGCCTAACAACGTGAATTATGAGTTCATTATTCACGTTGTTAGGCAGGGAATTTATAATTTTTATCATTATCCATGAAAAAAACCCAATATAGGTATATCAACCCGCAGGCTCCGCTCCGCTTTATTGTTTTGCATTATGTAAACCTGAAATGAGATTAAAACATAAAATGGGGTTTTAAAGGTGCAATTTAAAAATCCATTTAACTTAAAAGATATAATATATCTACTTAGGCCCTAAGTCTTAGGGCCGGTTTATCAATGTCCAGATCAAGTTGCAGTTAGTTACAGGGGCGTGCTGGCTATATCAGACCGGCCCGGGAAATTCAGAAAAATCGGACAACTACACACGAAAAATGGGGGGTGAACAAAACCAAGTTAAAAAATTTCAAACATTTATTAATAATTAATAACATAAAGTATAAATTAAATTCTTGAAGAAAAAAACAGACAACAAACACAACCAGACAGTATTTTACACAATGCTAAAACATATAGCATTGCACTTAAAATAAAAACTAATAAACAATATACAATCTCGAAAAAAGAAACAAAGCTGGCAGGCTGGCATGCATGGTATGTGTAAAATAATTATGATATTTATACATAACTCAACTAAAAAAGTTTTTAATTGACCACGTGCTGCGGCATGCTGCCTACATAGCCCTCCGGCACACCGGCCCACTTAGCCCTCCGGACCACCGGCCCACGTGGGATTTCTCCCGGTGTCCCGGCGGCCCAGCACGCCCCTGGTTAGTTATCTGGTAGGTAATTTCCATGAATACCATTGTTCTCACAACGATCGATATGGAATTTAACTGTCAGATGGACTAACTCGAACTTAACCAGAGATTGATAACTCTAATACTTCTTTATAAACAATGTTTGGCCTATTTCTCCATTTGCCAAAACATTTGTCGCAAAAATTAAAAATTAAAAAAAAATATTAAAAATTTAAAAAAAAACTTTTTTACATGTTTGTTTACAAGTCCTGGGAATTCAAAATATAAAAAAATTAAAATTATAAAAAGTTTCGGGAATAATTTAAAATATTTAAAAAAATTTTTTGCAAAGATCAAAAAATTAAAAAAGTATTCAATTCCCTATCAAACGTGTATAGGGCTTAGCTTTATATTTATTTTTTAGCGAGATACAAACCATTTTTGATAGACTAATGTTTTTATTTATTTGTTGATTTATTTAATACATTTATATATTTTGTAATAAGCTAACCAAATAGCTTGTGAAAATGGAATATTGCGATGGAAAGGATCTTACCATTAATATTAAGAGTTCATACGTGGATAGGCTTCTTTTATATATGATCAATATTCAAAATATATCTACAAAATAATAGATAAATAGAGCTTCAAATAGGGTAAATTTTATTTAAATCGGGCAAAAATTAATCATGCTGTATCACTTTGAATTTTAAAAATATCCGAATTTTGGCTAAAAAATCGATTTTCTTTCGATGAAAGCAAGAATTTTAAAGATAATACCAGTATCAATTTATATGGTATTTTTGTAGTTTACAAATATATACAGCCCGTTCAGAGTAAAACCGAATATAGGGAAACGTTTTAGGCGTGGCCTCGCCTCCCTCCAACGCGCGTCACAATAGCTTGTGTGATAAACGACATGACGAAAGGTCGAGCATGTAAGACGACCTAAAAAATTAAATGATAATAATTCAAAAAATCTCATTAGCGATGCAGACTATTTGCTAAGCTACTGTGTCGCGCGTTGGAGGGAGGCGAGGCCACGCCCCATACATTTCCCTATATTCGGTTTTACTCTGAACGGGCTGTATATACAAATTTGAATGTGCGCATATCGAAAAGAATGGTTTTTTGTCTACATCGCTATAACAAGAGCTGATTGAGCAAAATTATGTTCATTTTTGGATTCAGCGTACCTAAATTACCCTTAAAAAGTTGTTGATTGCCATGCACCAAAATTTTATTTTTGTCGGCCTGTGTTATTCGACAATAAATAATATTTTTGTAGGATTATATAGGTATATAAAATTTTATTTTATTTATAACTGCTGTTGACTCACCGTGTCAACCCAATTTGCATGAATTGCATTACTTTATATAACTCTATGAATAATGCTATAAAACGTTATCTACTGTAGTGATATAGACATGGTGGTCTATTTTTCAGCTTACCCAAGGTCCCATCAAATATTATAAATACAATTAATTTTAATACTTAAAGCTTTATTTAACAAAATATACATATAGGTACGTGCATTAGTAACATTTATTAATTAATTTTGAATAAAAAACAGTTATACACATATGTATAAGTATGTATTTAAATTACTTAATTCATAAAACCAACTCAACTTTCATTCAAAATTTTTACGTTTAAATTGATTTTATTTTAGTCTGTTACCTAAACCAATTTACCAGTGTGGGTTTTAATTTATAAATTGTCACAACATACGTTTTATTAGTTAGGTACTAAAACTTATATTTAAAAATAATTGCATGTTTTAAATGTTGTGCTTTAAAAATTTAAATTAAAATGCATATATTTCCAACTACTTATCTAAAACTGCATCAAAATTGTAGTTCCAAGTACTTATTTAATACGCTATTAGAGTTTTAATGTGGATTTACGAACAATAAACTGAAACCTCAAGTTTTGTTATAAACAGTGAAAACTATCAATAGGAACATGTATTGTGAGTTTCAATATAAATTTTGACCCTTTAACCTTTAAGTCCCCAGAAGTGTAAATGGTCTAAATTAAACATTTTAAAATTCAAAATACGTAACTGTATCACATTGGTGTACGGAAGTTTTGAGTTACAGTTAGAACATAAAATAATTAGTTTTATTATCGTCATTTGTAGTGGACGCAAAACAGAATAATGCACAATTAGAATGCGCACGAACGCCTTTGATTAATTGAAATTTTAATTTGTCGGAAGAGTTTTTAATATCTGATTTATGGGCTTCGTGACTCTTTGCTCAAGCATACATAATATTCTATCATTTATTTTTTGCATAGAGTTTAATAAGTAAAAAAATTCTAACTCTAAAACGGCTTTACTAATCTTTATGAAATTTTTACGTGTTCGAGGGTTTTTCGAGAAAATATTTTTAAAGCTCTTTTATTTAATAATAAAAAAACGTTTGAAAAATAACTTTTAGGGAATTTTTTTAACTAAATAAAAAATTGCTGTTAAAGACCGTATTTTTATTAGTAAAAATTAAACGAACTTTAACGAAGACAAAGTGCTTCAAAGTTGGTAAAAATGGCCCCTTTTTGATTATTTTGCTGAAAAGTGGTCATTTTTGACGACTTTAAAGCGCTGTATTTTCGTTAGTGGATTGACATACGTCTAATTTTGAGAATAAGATATTGTGCACATAGAATTATACTACAGGGTGTTAAAAAAGGGATGTTTTTTTTCCAAAATTTCAATTCCCCATTCACAGGGCAGTTGAGCTTGATAGTCGTAATACCCCTTCCTAATAACAGTTAGGTTATCCCTCGGGACGTTTTCGAGATTTTGTGGATATCTTGGCTAACTACGATTATAGTATAGCAATTTTTCGAAAATTGTCGTTATTCTCCACTTAATTTCCAAAAATGAGCAAACTACGAAAGGTATCGATTAGTTATCAACACATCGTTTCCCCAATTTGCATGTTCTTGTGTCCATCTTCTTCTAGCAGAAAAAGAGGGCAGGAAGCTCTTCCTCTTGCGTGGTATGCAATCTTACATCCGTCATTTTATTTTTTAAATGTGATTTGCTGTTTGAAAAATGTTTTCATATTCGACGACAAATATGACAAAAATAATTGAAAGAAGGAAGCTCCAAAACAGATATGCACCATATTTTTTAAACTTT